AAACGATTAATCGTAGGCAGCTAACATAGGTACCTCCCCCTGCCCTCAAAGAAACCCTGAGGGGAAAAAGCCAAAACCTAAGAGCAATTTTAAAAAGCAGGAATCCTTAGTCTCAGGATTTTATGCAGACTTTATTACAGAAAGCTATGATGACGAGTTACCTCATAAAGCTGTTGGGAGGAGCCAGTGAAGCAGTGCTTAGGAGAGCCTAATGGACTTCGAGTGTTCAGTAGATGTCAGTCATAAAGGGGAAAAAACTCCTAACCTCTCACTTTGTGCCTTTGGCTGTTCAGAATTTCCAGTCCCACCCAGGCTGGCATGCCAGCCCAGTAACAACCTACTTTTAAAATTTCACAGGATTTAATGAAATTAAGCGCAATTTAAAATCCATGTAAATTCTAAGGACATTGGAAACTTGCAGAGAATTTGCAATATTCCTGATTATTTAAATTCTCCTTATACTATTTGCAGGGAATAACATTAATTCCGTATCTGCTTTTATTACCAGGTGTTCTGGCTTGGTGACACAAAGATCCATCTGACACAAACAGATTTCTTTCTCAGAAAGTCTTACAATCTAGTAAGGAGAAACATGGACAGGAAAATCTTAAGACATAATTTGCAACTGAAGAGATTATGTTGTTTACGTCAGGGTTGTGTAAGCTGCCCTGGAGATGGCATTTGAGCTTGTCCAGCTCTTATTTATTTATTTTAAAGACTTATTTATTTGAAAGGCAGAGTTTACAGAGAGGCAGAGAGAAAAAGAGAGAGGTCTTCCATTGCTGGTTCACTCCCCAGATGACTGCAACGGCCGGAGCTGTGCCAATCTGAAGGCAGGAGCCAGGAGCTTCATCCAGGTCTCTCACATGGGTGCAGGGGCTCAAGGACTTGGGCCATCTTCTACTTTCCCAGGCCATAGCACAGAGCTGCATCAGAAGTGGAGCAGCTGGGACTTGAATATGTAGGATGCCAACTCTGCAGGTGCCGGCCCCACACTCTTATTTATTTTTTTAAATATTTATTTATCCATTTGAAAGGCAGAGTTACAGAGAGAGGAGACAGATTTTCCATCCGCTGGTTCACTCCCTAAATGACCGCAACAGCTCCTGGGCCAGGTTGAAGCCAAGAGCTGCTTCTGGGTCTCCCATGTGGGTGACAGGGGCCCAGGGACTTGGGCCATCTTCCACTGCCTTCCCAGGCACACCAGCAGGGAGCTGAATTGAAGTGGAGCATCTGGAACTCTAAACAGCACTGCAAGCAGCAGCTTAACCCACTGTGCCATGGTGTTGGCACCTTACCCAACTTTTAGAATAGGATTTAAAAAATTTTTTTAAAGATTTTTATTTATTTATTTGAGAGGCAAAGTTACAGAGGGGGAGAGAGAGGTCTTCCACCTGCTGGTTCACTCCCCAGATGGCCTCAATGACTAGAGCTGAGCCCATCCGAAGCCAGGAGCCAGGCGCTTCTCTCAGGTCTCCCATGCAGGGGCAGGGGCCCAAGCACTTGGGCCATCTTGACTGCTTTCCCAGGCCATAGCAGAGAGCTGGATCGGAAGAGGAGCAGCCGGGACTGGAACCAGCATTCATAAGGGATTCTGGCACTGCAGGTGGAAGGTTAGCCCACTATGCCCCAGCGCCAACTCCATGTCCAGCTTTTAAAGTAGTGGAATTTGTACTCCAGATAAAGTTTACAGCAAGAGCTAAAGAGGGAATGACAGAACTTGGGATCAGTGGAGCATTTCTTATGTACTGAGCTGGCAGATAGAAACGTCGGATTTTATCACAATAATCTAGGTGAGAATCAGGGTATTGGCAGAGAATGTAGAGGAGGGGATATGCCAGAGATATCAGAGACATCAGTTGGGCTTGACAAACCAACAAGACTTGGGTAGGAAATGGGACATGGGAGGGGAAAGTCAATTGTTAACAGCCTTAATTTTCTCATTGGAATGTGGATACCACTAAATGTAAGATTAAACAGATGAACAAACAAAGCATTTAGAACCATGCCTGGCATAGTAATGGCTTGATGTTACCATTAATTCCATCAATAAATATTTTAACTCGCTTGGTACCAGGGTAATGAATACAAGGAAATAAAATCCTTGCTCAATAAATGTATACCATAATAATTTCATTACAAGCGCAGATACTATGAAGAATGAGAATAGGGCACTGAGAACTAGAAGGACCTCTTTTAGGCTAAAAAGTAAGTCTTGGATAAAATGACATGTGACCCTTTAAAGTTTGAAATAACCAGAAAATTCCAGATAGCTTAACCACAAGGAGGCTCAGCTGCTCACCGCACTAAACTGCAGTCACCCCTCAGACTAGGGCCCGTGTGTGTGGGCTTCATTGGGGAAGCTGTCCCTTCATGGTGGTAAGATGGAGGCCAGCAGTGCTAAGGGTCTTTCTGCATCTCTGGGAAAGAAGCGTGCTGCTCTTTTCCCCAAGGTCCCAGAATTGGGTCTCACTGACTGGCTGCAGTCACAGCTGTGCCTGGGTGGGCAGGGGGCTGGGATGGTGCTTGGGTTGATCCTGGAGGAGAGCTATCTGTTGAGGGCAATAGTGGGTATCCACTGCTTGAGCAGGAGAGGGATCTAGCAAAGCAGAGGGGGCAGGAAAAAGTATTCTAGGCAGGGTGGGGCAGGACATTTGAGGCTCTGAGGAAGGGAAGAAAGGGAAGGGTGTGTGTGAATAGAGTGTCAGCAGCTGTGGTCCAATCATGTAGGTTCATGTAGGCTGTGCTAAGGGTCTTGGATTTTTTTTAAGATTTGAAAGGCAGTGACAGAGAGGTGAAAGAGATCTATCTTCCAACCTCTGGTTCTCTCCCCTAATGCTGTTAAGAGCCAGGGCTGGGCAAGGCTGAAGCTAGGAGCCAGAAACTCCACCTGGTGTCCAATGTCAGTGGCAGGAACCCAAGTATTTGTGGACTCTGCTGCCTTCACATGCATACTAACAGGAAGCGGATGGAAGTGGAGCAGCCAGGACTTAAATCAGCACTTCAATATGGGATGCAGGCATCCCAAGTAGCAGCCTGCCCTGCTGTGCTACAATGCCTGACCCTTGGATTTCATTTTGAACTGTGGGGAAATACCAGAAGATCCCAATAGTCCTGAGGATTATAGGAGGAAGGTGGTAAGGGTTGGGAAGTTGGAAAAGTTGAATTTGTGGGGCAATGTCATGGCCTCACGGACAATCAGAAGTAGGTATCCATCTATTGTCCATCTTTGAAAACCTCTTTACTGGGGCAGTGCTGTGGCATAGCAGGTAAAACATCCCATATGGACCCCAGTTCGAGTCCTGGCCACTCCACTTCTGATCCAGCTCCCTACTAATGCACCTGGGGGAAAATGACCCAAGCCCCAGGGACCCTGCCACCCACATGGGAGACCTGGAAGAAGCTCAGGGCTTCGTATTGCCCCAGCTCCAGCCACTGAGGCCATCTGGGGAATGAACCAGTGGATGGAAGATACCGCCCCCCCCCCAACTCTACCTTGTCAAATAAATAAATATTAAAAAAAAACCCAAAAACCCTATCTCCTGTCTAGCTGCTGTCTTCCTTCTTCAGCAAAACCATCAGAGTTGTCCAAAGCCACTGTCTTTACCCCCTCACTTCTGTTCTCTCTATCCTTCCCAGGACTTCTGTCATTATCAAAATTAACCAGTGTTCAGTAATGTCAACTTTGCCAGATGCAGCAGATGTAGTTCTCAGTCCTGTTTACTAGAGTTCTCAGCAAGAATGACAGAATCTCTCTCCTTGAAACCTGTCTTCCTACATTACTGGCCTCTTCTCAGTTTCCCTTGCCAGATGACTCTGTGCCCTCCATCCTCTAGTCTGTGGTACGCTGTGAATACCCTCCTTCCCCCAGCAGTCCCTCCTGCTCCAGATGCACACACACACACGGTAAGTACTGAAAGCAAGGCTGACACACATTTTGGAGTCATCAGCATATATAATGTTGACTAGGGCTTTACCTTGAGAGATTAAATCTCTCAAAAATAATTTTTACATTATATTTAACAAAAATTACACTTAGCATTACACAGTAATTCCTAGATCAAGGAAATGAACCAGGTTTTGTTTTGGTGACAGTTACCTCGCAAAATTAGCATAGCACACTGTGACACGTCCTCCATTTGACTTTAAGGCACAGTCTTATAAAAGAGGTTAATCTTTGTTTCATCAGAGTTCCCAAAACTACGCCTTTGAAGCACCACACCCTGACATTTGTCAACTGTTTCTTACATCTTTAACCAGTTTTCACAGGAGGCCAGGTCCTTATTTCCCCATTTGAGAAGTTCTCTAACAGCACTGTTAGCATTTGGACAACCCCTTTCCAGTTGTACATAAATCGGTGGCATCTTATGCTGAATGGACAGGACAGTCTGAAGCTATTAACCCTAGAGACTTCTGTGGCCGCATGAGAGTTCACCTGAGGGCCTCTGGCCCAGGGTGAGCCATCAGAACCTTCGGACAGAGTTGAGGCTTGGGCTGCTCAGGGTGGCCGAGCTGAAGAGTGGAGCTTCGGAGGTCAGCGGCCACATGGGGGAAGGAGCCAAAGTGAATGAAACGTGACACAGGGTGCAAAGCTGACATAGGGTGCACAGCTAGAGAGCTGTGAGCCCTGCTTCCAACTGTCTGACCCGCCTCCTCCTCAAGGGTCACAGTGCACTTCACCCTGTGAGCTCCTCCTCTTTTCCTAAGTTAGTTGAAGTTGTGCTTCTGTTATCGGCATCCAGCAACAGTCTTAAAAGTACACCAATGAAGCAAGAGGTAGAGAAGACGCTGGGACTGTCATGAGAGGAGAAAGGCAGAGCTAGCAGACGGCAGTAACCACGCAGCCATGAGAAGTGGGTGGCCTTATTCAGAGATCAAACAGTAGCATTCAAATTTTTAAAATTATTGACCTACTTCCTAATATTACTTAAACCACTCCGCTCTGTTAGCTTAAGCAGGGTAATTTAGTATCAATGATACAGAGCTACATGTCAACAAGATTGAGGTTGAACTGAATCAAAACTTCATTAAAAGCATGATAAGACACCAGTGTCCATGTTGCTCATTACAACGGGTTAGATTTAAAAAGGGGAAGCCGTAGGGAAATGTGAATAAGTCCAGTTATGCCTTCTTCTGATTCCATACAGTTTTTATAATAGATGGATCCACTAGAATTTCTGCAAACAGATATAAATAAAAATTATCAATTAAAAGTAAAATTTTTATTACCACTCAAATGTTAAATTTTTTTTCCCAAAGAAAACCATTTATTGAACGAGCACAAATTTCATAAGTATAATTTTAGGAATACAGTGATTCTTTCCATCATACCTACCCTCCCACCCCACCTCATCCTCCCTCTCCCTCTCCCATTCCCATTCTCCATTCAGAAAAACAAACAAACAAAAAAAACCTGTTTCTCAAAAGTCAAGACAAGGGCTGTTCAAGTCATTGCTTCTCAAAGTGACAATTTCCCTTCTACAGATTTCCTTAGTTATCACAGATCAGGGAGAACATACGATTTGTCCCTTTGGGACTGGCTTATCAAATGTAATTTTTAAATGCCCTTCTCAAATAGCATGTGTACTTTCTGAAAGTAACATACTCACTTTCACCAGTTTTCTTTGTTGCCAATATCCCGGATGTTCTGTCCTTCATATTTGAGGAACTCTTTCCTGGCTGGTACTGCTTTAACAGCTACTGGAGTAGCCAGCTTTGAATTGTATTTTGTTAAAATCTAAAACAAAAATAAATTTTTTTGAGTACTTCTAGTACACATGCATAATTCCTTTTTTTCGAGGGTTTCCGTTTGGATACAACAGGGATAGAAAACAAGGTGCAGGAAACTGAGTGAGTCTCCCGGCCATTTCCTTATTCCCGACTCCCACACGGTACCGACCCTGCCCTCCTAGTTGTCAGCAGAACCAAGAAAATTCTTTTGTATTTAAAGTTATATGATCAATATAAATGTGGAAGATGTTACAAAATGTTCAAAAAAAGCCCTGGAAATTCTGAAGATATAGATCATTTAAAACTCTTAAGAATTATTTTTTGGCTGGCACCGCGGCTCACTAGGCTAATCCTTCGCCTAGCGGTGCTGGCACACCGGGTTCTAGTCCTGGTTGGGGCGCCGGATTCTGTCCCGGTTGCCCCTCTTCCAGGCCAGCTCTCTGCTGTGGCCAGGGAGTGCAGTGGAGGATGGCCCAGGTGCTTGGGCCCTGCACCCCATGGGAGACCAGGAAAAGCACCTGGCTCCTGGCTCCTGCCATCGGATCAGCGCGGTGTACCGGCCGTAGCGCGCTGGCCGCGGCGGCCATTGGAGGGTGAACCAACGGCAAAAAGGAAGACCTTTCTCTCTGTCTCTCTCTCTCACTGTCCACTCTGCCTGTCAAAAAAAAAAAAAAAAAGAATTATTTTTTACCAGTGCATAAAGCCTTTCAATATGCACTCAGTAGCAATACACTCATGAAAGCAAATTGAGCTTCTACAAGGATTTAGCGGAAATAAACACAGGAAAAATCCAAAATGAATGCTCATCAGTTATAAAGATTATAAAAGAAGAATCTGAAATATCACCAATTTTTTTCATACATAAAGAAGTTTCTTTCCCTTCATGCAGAAATATGGAGCAAAGAATCAACCACAGGGAAATATAAACTTAAACTCCCATCATGACAAGAGATGTTCCTTCCTCACCCAAATTCTTATATCGCTCAGGAAAACAGAAAAGATAAAGAAGGAGAATAAATATTTTACTGATATCTTAGGATATATTCTTTTTTTTGATAGGCAGAGTTAGACAGTGAGAGAGACAGAGAGAAAGGTCTTCCTTCCATTGGTTCATCCCCCAAGTGGCCGCTACGGCCAGTGTGCTGCACCGATCCAAAACCAGGAGCCAGGTGCTTCTCCTGGTCTCCCATGCGGGTGCAGGGCCCAAGCACTTGGGCCATCCTCCACTGCCCTCCCGGGCCACAGCAGAGTGCTGGACTGGAAGAGGAGCAACCGGGACAGAATCCGGCGCCCCAATTGGGACTAGAACCCGGGGTGCCAGCGTCACAGGCGGACGATTAGCCTAGCGAGCTGCAGTGCTGGCCAGGATATAGTCTAATTGCATTTAGGTATCTTCCCAAGTGGCTTATCCCTGTGACTCTGCATAAGCCAAGAAGATGTCAGGAGTGGTTATTAAGAATTCCATTTGCCTAAGCAATTATTGCCAAAACTATAACTTCTCAAGTGGGAGTGTAAAAGAAATCACACTGGTTATTTAACAGAGTTGGCAGTTTTTATAAATCAGTAGATTAAGATATTCTAATATACAAAAATCAGTGTTTCTCAAACTGCAGTCCAGGAAGTTCAACACTGATGTTTTCCATGACACCCTGCTACGGAGAACTGTAGCAGAAACGACGTGCCAACAGCACTTCAAATTGAACAATGATCAACACAGGAATGGCAGCTGAGCAACTTTTTTTTTTTGACAGGAAGGGTGGAAAGTGAGAGAGAAAGAGAGAGAGAGAAAAGGGTCTTCCTTTTCCGTTGGTTCACCCCCCAGTGGCCGCTCCGGTGGCGCACTGCAGCCGGCGCACCGCACTGATCCGATGGCAGGAGCCAGGTACTTATCCTGGTCTCCCATGGGGTGCAGGGCCCAAGCACTTGGGCCATCCTCCACTGCACTCCCAGGCCACAGCAGAGAGCTGGCCTGGAAGAGGGGCAACCAGGACAGAATCCGGCACCCTGGCCAGGACTAGAACCCGGTGTGCCAGCGTCGCAGGCAGAGGATTAGCCTAGTGAGCCGCAGTGCCGGCCAGCTGAACAACTTTTAGAAAATATTGTGTACTTCAGAACATGAAGTTAAAGAGCAAATGCCCCTCAGGGTGTTATCACTAAAATCTTAAGTCACTAGCTCAAAAGAGCTATGGATAGGTTAGAAACACCTAACAGCCTAGAATTCAGATTTTCTCAATACTGAACTTAGCACATTAGTCTGACGATGGACAGTCATAGGTCTTTTTTTTTGACAGGCAGAGTTAGACAGTGAGAGAGAGAGAGACAGAGAGAAAGGTCTTCCTTCCATTGGTTCAACCCCGAAATGGCTGCTATGGCCAGCGCACTGCACTAATCTGAAGCCAGGAGCCAGGTGCTTCTCCTGGTCTCCCATGGGGTGCAGGGCCCAAGCACTGGGCCATCCTTCACTGCACTCCCGGGCCACAGCAGAGAGCTGGACTGGAAGAGGAGCAGCCGGGACAGAACTGGTGCCCCAACCGGGACTAGAACCCAGTGTGCTGGCGCCACAGGTGGAGGATTAGCCTAGTGAGCCGCGGCACCAGCCAGTCATAGGTCTTTAATATATAAGTAATTAATTTTGGAAAGAATATCAGAAAAAATAGCTGGAAAAATACCTGGAGAATATCTTCTGGAATTGTAGTTACTTCTGGAGGTGTAGGTGTTCTGAGCAGATTCTCATAAGAAGAAATCGTAGGAGAAGAGGGATCTGCAAAATTCTCAAAGCACTTGTCTGAATTTAAAACTAATGAAGTACAATCTGTAACTTCCAAATCATTAGATGATTTGTTTGTTTTTGATAATGGAAAATTTGTGGATACCTATGGGATTAAAAAACAGTCATTAAATTATAGTAGTATAAAATAATGCAATAAACAAAAACTGTTAGTTAATTGTTAGTTCTGTTGGGGTCTCCAAGTGGGCCTCAAAATGACTCTATCCATGACCAACTTCTGAAACTGAAACTCTATGGAGGCTCAGCAGGTTAAGCTGCTGCTGGTGCAACACAAATCAGAGTGCCTGGAATCAAGTCCCACCTCTGCTTTCCATCGAGCTTCCTGCTATTGAGACCGGAGGGAGATGATGGCCCAACTACCTTGTCCCTGCCACCCACATGGGAGAACTAGACAGAGTTCCTGACTCCTGGCTTTGGCTTGGTCCAGTCCTGTCTGTTGTGGGAATTTTAGGAGAAAACCAGTAGATAAAAGATTGATCTCTCTCTCTCTTCCCTTCCCTCCTTCCACTTCTGTTTTTCAAATGAAAAATAATAAATCTTTTTTTAAAAAAGGAAAGGAAATAGCATATGGAATACTAAATACCATCTTCATTACTAGAAAAGGCTAGTTAAGTTAGAACTTAACGTGAGGATTAAATGGACTTTTTAATTAAACCACCAGGTTTAGATGGACTCACCCACCTTGTTTCAGACTACACTAAACTCGGCCAGATGAGAATCCTGGCATGTATGGGCAAAGTGTTACTACATACCCTCAAGCAGGCAACGGAGAAAGGAACTCTGAAGTAAGCTTGGCAGTTTAATCACACTAAATTGACCAACTGGGTAAGTCACTACATCTCCTAGGGTCAGGGTGGTTAAGAGGAGAAAGGCCAGGAGTGTACGTCAGTAGGATGCTTACCATGTGAATGGAAACATGAGGAGTAGACTAAATGTAAATGGATGGTTACCTGAAACTCTTAAATGATAACACAGCACTATTTGTCTACAGCTGTACCATCCCGCACAGCAGTTAAACGCCACGTGAGACTACTTAATTTTAAATTAAGTACAAGTTATAAAAATTAAAAATTAGTTTTTCAGGGGGCCAGTGCTGTGGTATAGCAGGGGATGCCACCATCTGCAACACCAGCATCCCATATAGGCCCGGTTTGAGTCCCGTCTGCTCCACTTTGGATCCAGCTCCCTGCTAACGTGCCTAAGAAAGTAATAGAAGATGGCCCAGGTCCTTGGGCCTCTGCACCCACGTGGAAGACCTGAAAGAGACTCCTGGCTTCTGACTTCGGATTGGCCCAGCTCCAACCATTGTGGCCATTTGGGGAGTGAAAGAGTGGATGGAAGATCTCTTTCTCTGCTTCTCTGTAACTTTGCCTTTCAAATAAAAAATAATTGAATAAATCAGTGTTTTCCAAACTGAAAAAAAAAATCTTAAAAAATTATTTATTTTTGAAAGAGTAGGGTTGTGGGGAGAGAGATACCTGCTTCCATCTGCTGGTTCACTGCAATGGCCAACACTGGGCCAGACTGAAGCCAGGAGCCTCACCCAGGTCTCCCACATGGGTGCAGGGGCCCGTCTTCCGCTGCTTTCCCAGGCCACTAGCAGGAAGCTGGACTGGAAGTGGAGCAGCTGGGACACAAACCAGTACCCACGTGGGATGCCAGAATTGCAGGCAGTGGCTTCAAACACTACGTCACAATGCCAGCACCTCTAGCCAATCTTTTTCCATAAAATAAAATACAGGTATATATTGTAGTGTATACCCATACACATACATGTCATTTTCCATATTTCTTGAAAACATTCTATGTTCTGTTTTTCAAAGCCTAAGACCTTATGGATGATAACAGATCTTATGTATACACCTTATTGTATTTTGCTTCCCCTTTGTCATTTGATATTAATAGTTTCTCATGTTTTGCCCTTATAATTAATGCTGTTCCTTCCTCTTATACATTCTTTGTTATAAATCTTTTTCCTAACTTGCCTTAGAACAAATTCTGAGACATGGCTAAAGATTATGAAAAATTTTTAAAGCTCTTAATTTATGCTGCTAAATTACCCTCTGGAAATGTATTATAAATATGCTTCTAACAGCTACATTATTGTAAACTTGTTAAAGAGACTGAGTCTGGAATTTACCAAAGCTGTGCTCTTCTTTGTAGCAGGAATTTTCAAACCAGGAGTGCAGAATGTAGGCGCCAAGGGGGATTTTGTGTACTCGGTATCTAGAAGACACATACAATAGGCATTATAAGTTGAAATAAAGATTTAAAATCTTAAATTATAAGCTTTGACAATGTAATTTGTGTACTTTATTCTTTTTTTTTTTAATTTTTTGACAGGCAGAGTGGACAGTGAGAGAGAGAGACAGAGAGAAAGGTCTTCCTTTTGCCACTGGTTCACCCTCCAATGGCCACCGCGGCCGGTGCACTGCGGCCGGCAGACTGCGCTGATCCGATGGCAGGAGCCAGGTACTTATCCTGGTCTCCCATGGGGTGCAGGGCCCAAGTACTTGGGCCATCCTCCACTGCACTCCCTGGCCACAGCAGAAAGCTGGCTTGGAAGAGGGGCAACTGGGACAGAATCCGGCGCCCCAACCGGGACTAGAACCCGGTGTGCCGGCGCTGCAAGGCGGAGGATTAGCCTAGTGAGCCGCGGCGCCAGCCACTTTATTCTTAATTACTTAAAAAATAACTACAGTGTGTGCTTCACATATGTAACTTTTCATTTATTTGAAAAGCAAAAGAGAAAGAGAGAGGGGGAGGGAGATCTTTTATATGCTGGCTCACTCCCTCAAATGCCCCAATGAGCTAGGGCTGGGCCAGGCCAAAGCCAGGAGCCAGGAACTCAATCCAGGTCTCCCATATGGGTGGCAGAGACACACCTACTTGAGCCATCCCAGTGTACATAGTAGCAGGAGGCAGAAATTGGAAGGAAATCCAGGAATCCAACCCAGTCTCTCTGATATGGCTTGTGGGGTCCCAAGTAGCACTTAAACACAGTGATTAAGCACCCACTCCAAACACATATAATTATTGGCATTAATAAAAGTTCACCAAGGTTGCAAGGTACAACAGCAATACACAATAATGAATAGTTCTGTTATATAACAGATATAACAGCAATAAACTATTAAAAGCATAATTTGGAAAATTATGGGCATAGATTCTGGTCTCACCTGTGTCACTTTCTTCACTTTCTTTCTTTCTTTTTTCTTTCTTTTTTTTTTTTTTTGACAGGCAGAGTTAGACAGTGAGAAAGAGAAAGACAGAAAGGTCTTCTGATGTTGGTTCACTCCCCCAAATGGCTGCTATGGCCGGCGTGCTGCGCTGATCCATTCTCCTGGTCTCCCATGCAGGTGCAGGGCCTAAGCACTGGGGCCATCCTCCACGGCCTTCCCGGGCCACAGCAGAGAGCTGGACTGGAAGAGGAGCAACCGGGACAGAATCCAGCACCCCATCCGGGACTAGAACCTGCGGTGCCGGCACCGCAGGCAGAGGATTAGCCCAGTGAGCCGTGGCGCCAGCCTTTTTTTTTTTTTTAAGATTTATTTATTTGTTTGAAAGGCAGAGTTACAGAGAGACAGAGACAGAGACAGAGAGAGAGAGAGAGAGAGAGAGAGAGAGGAAGGTCTTCTATCTGCTGGTTCACTTCCCAGATAGCCACAAAGTTGGAGCTGTGCTATCTGAAGCCAGGAGCCAGGAGCTCCCACATGGGTACAGGGGCCCAAGGACTTGGGCCATCCTCTATTGCTTTCCCAGGCCATAGCAGAGAGTTGGATCGGAAATACACCAGCTGGGACTTGAACCAGTGGATGGAAGATCTCTTTCTCTGTAACTGCCTTTTAATTAAATAGAAATGAATCTTCAAAAAACCCAAATACTGGGCCAGCACCGTGGCTCACTAGGCTAATCCTCCTCCTGCAGCTACGGCACACCAGGTTCTAGTCCCGGTTGCCCCTCTTCCAGGCCAGCTCTCTGCTGTGGCCCGGGAGTGCAACAGAGGATGGCCCAAGTGCTTGGGCCCTGTACCCCATGGGAAACCAGGAGAAGCACCTGGCTCCTGCCTTCGGATCAACGCGGTGCGCCGGCCGCAGCGGCCATTGGAGGGTGTTCCAATGGTAAAAGGAAGACCTTTCTCTCTGTCTGTCTCTCTCTCTCTCAGTGTCCACTCTGCCTGTCAAAAAACAAAAAACAAATACTGAACATAATCAGGAAAAGTATTAAAAACATATCAGAAAATTTTATCTTTCTCTTGGATGAAATCATCCTGAACTGAATGGAATGGTACTTAACTCAATGGTTCAAATTTAAAAAACTTAATAAGCTAGTAGAATGTCTAAAGTGAAAGGAACATTTTTGTGCAAACATAGTCTGGAATGAGTACAATTTAGAAATAACTTGATTTTTACACTCACCACTTTTTTGCAACTGCTGGATTACGGGACCAGGAGTGGCAAAAAGTTTATCACTGGATGTGTGTTCTGTTTCTGAGGTCTTCTCCCTGATAAGATTCATAGAGAAATTATAAGGTTAAGTAAGACATGTTAATATTAAACCTCTGGGGGAAAATTTTATCATCACATCTGCTTTATGCAATAGAATTCTCATAGAATCAATCTTTGAAATATATAGATAGATGATATCCATGGTTCAAAAGAGGTTAAAATGATTTTCTACTGACAATCATGACTTAGAGAAGTGGGTTAAGAACAGGGACTTAAAGGAAAGCCATATGTTCAACTCATTAGTTCAAATATAGGAAATGTGTAATTCTTCAGCTTCAAAACCATAAAGTGGAATTTTACAACCAGTATACAGATACAAATTAAGAATCTGTTAAAATTAAAGGATTGATCCTGTCATCTTATTGAGGCTGTCCTAGCCAGTTACACAGATGTCTAGAATATCATTACAAAGGAAAAGTGTCTCTGAATAATATAACATGGTTCAAGACTGATTTTCACTGAAGTTTCCAGTTTTGAATTGGAACGTAATGAACTATGCTGCCCTTCACAGTCTATGCAAACATTTTTTAAAGTGTGTATGTAAAATACAGCATATATACAAAATAACATATATACATAATGTGTGAACTTTAAATAAATTTAAAAATATAGAATACTGCTAGTATCTGTGTAGTCCTTTATGGAAGCTTCTCCATTAGGGATTCCTCCCTGCTCAGAGATTAATTTCTTTCTAAATTTCCTCAGTAGTTATCCATGTGACTTCCTATAATTTTTGAAATTCATATACATGCAATCATAGTGATATACGTTATCAATCATTGCACTTTCTAATTATTTTCCTTTAAGAAAAATTTCATGAGGACTTTTTATACACACAGACATTCACTAATGCCAATGAGCATTATGAAAACATTTATTTTCTTATGTCTTTATTATTACTGCATATAATGTTTTCTGAAATTATTTCTGAACATTAACAAGCCCAGTTAAAATAGACCCCTGTCACTCACATGGGAGAGGCCTGGCCTAGCCCCAGCCATTGTGGATATTTGGAGAGTGAACCAGCAGATGGACGGTCTCTCTCTGCCTCTGCCTTTCCCTCTCTGTAACTCTGCCTTTCAAATAAATCAGAAAGAAAGGAAAGGAATGGAAAAGAAAATTTGAATGGATTTTTTCTACTCTTTTTTACCAACTAGTTATTAAATATGGGAAGCATTTTTTGTTGTGTTATATAACTATATGAAATGCACCACACAGAAATATTTATCTCTATTTCCTATCTCATTACATTGGCCAGAGTATCAAGATTGATGTTAAATACTGGTGACAGACAGCTTCACTATTATGTTAGACATTCATATTGTGTATCATACATATTATGAAAGCATCCATCTGTTTAGAATTTTAAAAGAACAGGTGTCAAATTTTAGCAAATTTCTCATTGACATCTACTGAGATTATCCTATTTTTCCTACTGAATCACAGAAATGATGTATGAGTTCCCAAAATTAAACTATCCTTGTCTAGTTTAATAAGCTTAACATGAAAGACGTCCATTATACTTTAGCCACCACCCGCAACACCAGCATCCTATATGAGTGCCAGTCTGAGTCCTATCTGCTCCTCTTCTGATCTGGCTCCCTGATAATACACCTGGAAAAGCAGTGGAAGCTGACCCAAGTACTTGAACCATTGCCACCAACATGGGAGACCTGGATAGAGTTTCTGGCTCCTGGCGTTGGCCTAGCCTAATCCCGTCCATTGCAACCATTTGAGGAGTGAATCAGTGAATGGACGATCTCTTTCTCTCTGTCTCTTCCTCTTTCTTTGAAACAATAAATTAAAAAAAAAATTCTGTTGAACTCAATTTTAAATTATTTTAATTAGGGTTTTCATATCTGTACTCATTAATTAGGTTGGGCCATAGTTTTCTTTTGTGGGTTTTGTCAGTGTTTGTACCAGGAAGTATAAATCAGGATGGGTGTTTGGCACGCGTTGAGCTGCTGCTTGGGATGCCCACATCTCATATTGGAGCTCCTGGTGGGAGTCTTGGTTCCTGATCCAGCTGCCTGCTAATGCACATTCTGGGAAGCAGCAGATAATGACTCAAGTACTTGGGTCCCTGCTGCTCCTGTGAGAGACCTGGACTGAGTTCTGGGCTGCTGGCTTTGGCCTGGTCCAGCCTTGGGTGTTGTGGGTATTTGGGAGAGTCAACAAGTAGATGGGAGATCTCTCTGTCTTTTGAATTAAGAAAAAAAAAAGGAGGATTTAACATTTGATATTCCTTGACTAATTTGATAAATGCTATTTGCATTGCAACTTTTAAGATTTTAATCACCATTTTCATGCTTTAGTCTGGCACTGAATTCGTCACTGAGCTTCAGACACATAGTAAAATACCTAAATTTAAGAAGTAATAAAAATATATACAGACACCTCAAAAACCAACATGTAAACACAACACCTTTTCCCCTACAATGCAGATATTCTTATCTTAGCTGTTTTCCTTAGCAATAACCTGGGCAACAAAACAGAAATCTGGGATTTACTTAGATCCTCCTGTCTTCCCAAGTCAATGTGCCAAATTAATAACAAATTCCTACTAATTTTACCCACTTATTTTTAGACTTTTTTTTTTTTTTTAAGATTTATTTATTTATTTGAAAGGCAGACAGAGAGAGAGAGAGGAAGGTCTTTCATCTTCTGTTTCACTCCCCAGTGGCTGCAATGGCTGGAGCTGCACCCAATCTGAAGCCAGGAGCCAGGAGCTTCCTCCAGGTCTCCCATGCGGGTGCAGGGGCCCAAGGACTTGGGCCATCTTCTACTGCTTTCCCAGGCCATAGCAGAGAGCTGGATTGGAAGAGGAGCAGCCGGGACTAGAACCGGTGCCCATTTGGGATGACAGCACTGCAGGCAGCAGTTTTACCCACTATGCCACAGTGTCAGTCCCGTTTTATACTGTTTTTTATCCTTACAAATGCCATCTATTTTGAGGCTCTTGTCATTCCTTCTATAGCCATTCACTTTAGGAAACCAAGAGTTCACATTTTACTGATGGAACTGGTGATCAGAGAGGTTTAAAATATGAAGTACCTGAAAACTTTTAAAAGGAAAGACATTATCTGAAACAATTCCACTAAGACAAGTGTCAATAAATATAAGATTCAGAAAGTAGGGCCGGTGCCGTGGCTCAATAGGCTAATCCTCCACCTTGCGGCGCCGGCACACCGGGTTCTAGTCCCGGTCAGGGCGCCGGATTCTGTCCCGGTTGCCCCTCTTCCAGGCCAGCTCTCTGCTATGGCCAGGGAGTGCAGTGGAGGATGGCCCAGGTGCTTGGGCCCTGCACCCCATGGGAGACCAGGAAAAGCACCTGGCTCCTGGCTCCTGCCATCGGATCAGCACGGTGCGCCGGCTGCAGCGGCGGCCATTGGAGGGTGAACCAACGGCAAAGGAAGACCTTTCTCTCTGTCTCTCTCTCTCACTGTCCACTCTGCCTGTCAAAAAAAAAAAAAAAAAAAAAAGAAAGTAAAAGGAGACTTTATAAAAAGCGGCTTACCTTTTATTATTCTTCATATTTTTAAGTCCCATTGTGTAATCTTCATTTAAACACATAGTATATTCAGAGATACCAAAATGTTCTAATTTAGGAGTTACACACTCAAAATCATCCATCTTTAGTGCACATTTTGGAGTTTTGAGTACTTTAATTACTGACTGACTGCCAGGTGGAGTTACAATTTTGGGCTCTTCCTTGTGTTGGTTTACTGCTTGTGGAGGGTTTGGCAGAGATTGGGATATCATGTACCGCTCAAGTCCAAAATCTGAAAGTTGTGGACTACGTGGAGGTTTTTCAGAAACAGAACTGCTTGGAACAGGAGGATCAGACAAATCACCATCAGGCTTTTGAAAACTGTCACACTGAGGCAACTCTGTGGCAGAGTCAGCACCATCTTGTTCACATACTAGGAACAAAATTGAAAGAGAGAATATGCGGTCAAACATTAAAAAGAAAATCTTCTGTTTACTAAAACAGCATAAAATAACTCCCTCTGAAATTTCTCAACTCAGCAAAAGTCCTGATTCTCTAAAATTTTTATTTCAATTGTCCTTTCAATAAATTCATTATATACCTCTTTTCCTTTAACATTTTTTATTTATGCATTTGATGAATTTTCACTTATTTTATTTGAAAAGCAGAGACAGAGAACTCCAATTTTCTGGTTCACTTCTCAACAGCTAGAGTTGAGCCAGGCCAAAGCCACGAGTCAGGATCTCAATCTGGATCTCCCACATGAGCAACAGGTATTCAACAGCTATTGCCTCCTGTGCACGTCAGCAGGAAGCTAGAATCAGCAGTGGATCTGGGACTTGAAGCTAGGCACTCTGCTACGGGATGCAGATGACCCAAGGAGCATCTTAACCACTGTACCATATGGCTGCCCTGATACTTATACATTTGAGAGAGGGAGAATGAAAGAGCACTCCAATCCACTGGTTCACTCCCCAGATGCCTGCAACAGGTGAAACCAGGCTGGGCTAAAGCCAAGATGCAGGAACTCAATTCAAGAATCCCATATTTGAGCCATAACCACTGCCTCTCAGGGTCAGCAATGGCAGGAAGTTAGAGTCAGGGGGTAGAATCGGTTCTCAAACCTAGATACTCTGATGTGGGATGCAATGTCTTAACCTCTAAGCTAAGCGCCTGCCCACCCCGCCCCAATCCTATTTCGATGATACATTAGAGGAGGAAAGCAACTGAAAGTGCTGAAAGAGGAGCCAGCACTGTGGTGCAGCAGATAAAGCCACGCCGGCATCCCATATGGGCACAGGTTAGTCTTGGAAGCTCCACTTCCAATCCAGCTCCCTGTTAATGTGCCTGGGAAAGCAGCAGCAGATGGCCCAAGTCCTTGGGCACCTGCACCCACGTGGGAGTCCTGGAAGAAGCTACTGGCTCCTGGCTTCAGATCGACCCAGCTCCAGCCACTGTGGTTGCCATTTGGGGAGTAAACCAGTGGATGGAAGATCTCTGTCTGTCTCTCCCTCTCTGTTAATTTTCCTTTTCAAATAAATAACCTTTAAAAAAAAAAAAGTACTAAAAAATAAAAAATCACTAACTCACAAGTGAAAGTCCAATTTCCTTACTTCCTCAGTTAATGTGATTTACTGGTCTTTCTTAATACTTTCTGAAACTATTCTATCATTTTATGACATTAATTACAGTGTGGTATCAATTGTATTCTAGATTTCCCAAAAGGTATATTATTTTAGATTTTTAATTTCTGATGCCTGTGAGAAAATGGAATGACTGCTGACAGAGATATTTATCTTACATCAGTTTGCAACATTTCTATCGAAAGCCTAATTGAGAAAATAATAGCATTTGAAAGAGATGTAGTTTCCTAACCTTTAATAGATTTCATGGCTTTAGGCGTTTATTTGGCATTGTGTTTTGTTCATTCTGAAGAATGTCAAGAGTTGCCAAAAACATACTATCACATTTATCACAGTACAATACATTTATCACCATTATCACTACTCCATAGGAAGATAGTAGTATCTTCCACATTTTCAAAGCAAAGAAAATGCGATTTAGAGAATTTTCTCAAGGTCACACATGTTGCATCTGGTGGAACCAGTCTGAACCCATGACTCACTCACACCAAAGTCAACGAAATTCTTGTACCAGGGGAACCGTTTAATATACTTTTCACACATTCTCAACACATATTTATTGAATTTAATTAATGCTTTATTTATGTTCACTGATTATTTTCAAAATAGAAATGAAGACACTGAAGTATATTTAAGGTAGTCATTCAGAGGTATGGGCAGAACAATAGCAGCAGTTAACACTGGGTGACTGGCAAACCAGGCACTGCTCTAAGTAGATTTTATCTTATTTAGTCCTTATATAACTTCTTGAGGTAGATATATTACACATTCCCAGATGAGAAACTGATGCATGGGTTACAGAACTTGCCAAAGATAATACAGTATGTAAGTGATGCAATAAAGATTTGAACTCAGGCAGTTTAGCTCCAAATTTCAAACAACTGTGTTTTACTACCATTCATAAAATCTTAGAACTAAAAAAGGACTTTATTAACTTAGACAGCCAAAAGCTCTCATTCCACAAAAGAGAAAACTGAGAACAGGAAAAATGAAATAGCATTCCTTAAGGTTTCTCAGCGTTTTTTTTTTTTTGTTTTGCAGCGCTGATTAGAAATGACCAATCCTAAGTCATGTAGATTTATCTTGTACTTTTTCATTTGAACAGTTGAATGAATTCTTTCATCCAACACTGTTAATTCTCATCTAGCATTTTGGAAAGGAGAATGGGACTATCTTTATATTGCACCACAGATTAGCACACAGTGACTGTTGAATAGATGTTTGTCAAATGACAGTTGCATAACGACAGTCAGAAATAAAAACCATCGTCAAGCTAACACTTGTCTCAATCATGTTGCCCTCCTGAATACTAAAACAAATGCAATAAAATGAAAGTTAGTCAAACCTGAATTTTTCTTGACACGTGGATTATAGCCATACTTCTGGAAAAACTCTTTTATTTGCATGATATCCACTGAATTTTTTTTCATCATTACTTTTGTTGTCTTTATGAAACTCATGCTTTCTTCATTTTCCAATCTAGCTTTATCAAGAAGAATACTGACATCATCCTTCAAAGAAGAAACAAAATAAATTATGATTTCTGTAACGTCTCAGTTTACTTTGGCTAAAACAATGACCACAGAAAATGATGAAATCAACAGTGTAGAAGGTACCTTTAGAGTCTGGACTTCTGAATGAAGGCCATTTAAAATTCTCATTGGATAATCTTCAAAGTCTTCAATATGAACATCGAAAGGAAAAAAATCCAATAAATATAAGGGAAAGAAAAAGAGAATTTAGTATAGTTACTGAGAATTATAAAATCCTTGTAGATACTTAACTTATTTATAAATTTATGTCCTATTAATTCCTAAGAAAAATATTAAGGCTGTTCTTTAAAGCTTATTGAATTATAACATACACATAGAAAAGTATGTAAGTCTTAACTATATAGCTTGCTTAACTTTATTGATTGATCTGTTTTTTGCTGAACTTTATAAAGTGAACATACCTGCAAAAACAGCTCTCAGCTTAAGAAACAGGCAGGGAGGATTCTAAAACTCTCATAGTCCTCTCTCAGTCCCTCCCTTCCCTTTAAAGGTAAACATTACCCTGATTTCCAAACACATGAAGTACTTTCATCTGTTTATGAACTTTACTTAATGGATTCATACAATATGTAATATTTTGTGATTGATTCATGTCATTCAATGTTGTGACATTCCTCTGTGTTCATAATCAAATCCACCCATGCTCATTGCTATGTATATATATATAGATAGATAGATTCCACTGTATCAAATTAATCCAATCTATTCTGTTCTATCAACAGAGAGACTTTGGATTTTGTGTAGTTTGGAAATATTATGAATACTCTTGCTTTGAATTTTCTATAACATGTCTTTGGTGCTAGTATAATCACTTTTTTGTATGCTAAAGGAAAGAGCTGCAGTATAAATTATGTATGTACATGCTTAACTTTCCTATATACTGTCAAACGGTTTTCCCACGTGCCTGTTAAAATTACATTTCCACCAGCAGTGCATGGAGGGCTCCATTTATTCCACATCTCTGCAAACACTTGGCATTTTTCTACTTTTTCTTTCAGTGGCCCTGGTACTGCATTGGGATTTAATTTGCATTTTTTTCTTGGTGACTAATAGATGTTTTTTTCATATACGAGTGACCACCTGAACATAATTTCTCTTAAAGTATTAATAAGACTTTCACATTTTCTCTGCATTGTCTTTCTCTTTTAACTTGTAGGCAGTCTGTCTTCACACACTTGGGCCATAAATCTCTTATCAGACATATCGAAACAGTATCTTTTTCCTTTCCATTGCATCCTACGTTAAAAATCTTTGCCAATGACACTAGGTATCTCTGACGCTTTCTCCTAAAAGCTTTACAGTTTAGCCTTTTGCATTTAGAGCCACAACACCCAGAGTTTATTTTTGTGTACGGCACGAGGTAAGGACCAGACCCATTCTTGTTTTCCAGATGGATATCAGCACTTACTGAGGACACCCCGCGGGGGCCGGTCGGGCGCGGCCCCGTCACTCACCGCTGTCCTCTCCGTCCAGCGCTCGCTGCAGCCGGGCCGTCTCGCAGTCTAGCGTGCTGGCCAGAGACCGCAGCTTCCCGCAGAAGCTCCGGATCGGGTCCATGGGTGAGGGCAACAGAGAAAGACTGTAAGCGCGAGCAGACGCCAGCTCTTCACGTTCAGAACCCGCCACAGGTTTGAATCTGAAGGCGACGGACGCGTCCAGATTCTGCGCAAGCGCAGAAGTCCTCTCTCGCTGGAGCGAAGTCTCGCGCGAAGACGATCTAGGGCGCTTCCGGTACGCGTCAGCGTGGGAGACGCGCGGTTCTGAAGAACGCGGGAGGTCAGTGGCTTTCCGAGGGGAGGTTCTCCTGCGGGGTACCCCTTTTTTCCCCCTGTTGGACCCAGCTGGGTTCCCCACTTCCGGGGAGGGGGGCCGGTGCGCGCTCGCGGGGAGCCGGGTCGGCGCCTGGCCGAGGCTGGCGCGTGGCCCGGGGGCCCACCGGCCTCCTCCGCCGTGGCCGGCGCACCTGCAGCTCGCGTCTCCTCGGCAGGCAGCATGTTCCTCACCGCGCTGCTCCGCCGCAATCGCATTCCGGGCCGGCAGTGGAGTGGGAAGCACCGGCGGCCGCGGCAGGTGTCCGTGTTTGCGAAGCAGAACATGATCCGTCGGCTGGAGATCGAGGCCGAGAACCACTACTGGCTGAGCATGCCCTACATGAGCGCCGAGCAGGAGTACGGCCACGCCGCGGCGCGCAGGGCCGAGGCCTTCGAGGCCTTGAAGGCGGCCAGGACCTCCAAGTTCCCCCCGCATAGGTTCATTGCAGACCAGCTCGACCATCTCAATGTCACCAAGAAGTGGGCCTAACCCTGAGCCGTCGCCCTTGGGTGTGATGGCTCACGGGACCGTCTTGTCTATGTGGTCCTGGGACTGAAAAGCTACGAGAAGAAGCAGGAAGCTTTGGACCAGAGCACAGTGAGCCGTGTATGAGGTGTCTGGGGCTTAAACTCCCGAAGCACTGGCCAGTTGTGTTCACTTTTTAGTCTGCTGGGAAGATATCTGGGATTTCCTGAGCCACATATAAGATAAAATGTATTTTGAAAGTTGCAATAAAACTGCAAACCCGATTTGGGGGCTTTGCTTAAATCTATGATGCTTCATGGCCTTATCTGGCAGTGTTAGTTTGCTTACCTTGCTTGGATAATCTTCAAACTTAAATATGATCTTTCTCTGTTAAACATACTCCTAAAAATGGCATTTTCCTCTGCGACTTGACTACTAAAAGTGGGCATTTAAATGAAGTAAGAGTGTTTTTCAGAATGTTACATAAAGGAATTTTCAAGTGGAAACCTTTTAAAATGTATTTTAAGAAATATTTATTTGTTTTTATTTGGAAGAGTGTGTTGGGGGGAGAGAGAGATCTTCGATCCACTGGTTCACTCCCCAAATTGCCCCAACAGCCAAGGCTAGGCCAGGCTGAAGCCAGGAGCTTCATGTGGGTCTCCCACTTGGTTGTAGGGGCCCAGGTATTGGGATCCGTGCTGCTTTCCCAGGCCGTTAGCAGGGAGAACTGGGTTGGAAGTTGAACAGCTGAGACTTGAACTGGTGTTGGTGCGGGATGTTGGTATTGGAGGCAGCAGATCAACCGGTTGTGCCACAGTACAGGCACCAATCTTACACTTTTTTTATTTTATTTTTTTTTAAAGATTTACTTCTTTGAAAGAGTTACACAGAGAAGGAGAGGCAAAGAGAGAGGAGTCTTCCGTCTGCTGGTTCACTGCCCAATTGGCTGCGACAGCCAGAGCTTCGCTGATCTGAAGCCAGGAGCCAGCAGCTTCTTCCGGGTCTCCCATGTGGGTGCAGGGGCCCAAGGACTTGGGCCATCTCCTATTGCTTTCCCAGGCCACAGCAGAGAGCTGGATCAGAAGTGGAGCAGCTGGTTCTCGAACCAGCATCCATATGGGATACGGGCACTTCAGACCAGGGCGTTAACCTGCTGCACCACAGCGTTGGCCCCCAATCATACACTCTTGATCACCATTGCTTTACATTTTGAAACTATGTAGTGTAAGTCTTCCAACATTTTTTTCAAAGTTGTTTTGTTTGAGGTCTTCTGAGTTTTCCTGTGAATTTTAGAATCAGTCTAGCTCTCTGTTCTCAGACAATAGACTGTGGGGATTTTGGCTGGAATGGCATTTAAATTCATTTCAATTTGGGTAGAACTGGCATAGTTAACCATATTGAGTATTCTGACCAATGCACACAGAATCTCCATTTCTTTAGGGCCTCTAATTTCTCTTGGCAACACTTTGTAGTTTTTTTTTAGTGTAGTGGTCATACTTTTTTTCAGATGGTGGCTTAACCTGTGCCACAACACTGGCCCCTAGAAATACAATTTAATATACGAAACAATTCAGTTGAAAAACAATTTTTTAAATATTTATGTATTTTGAAAGTGAGAGAGCAGGAGAGACAGATAGGGATCACTCCCCAGATGGCCTCAGTGGCCAGCACTGGGCCAGGCCAAAGCCAGGAACCAGGAGTTTCTTCAGGTCTCCCACATGCTTGCCAGGGGTCCAAGCACTTGAGCCATTTCCACTGCTTTCCTGGGTACACTAGCAGGAAAGTGGATTGGAAGTGGAGCAGCTGGGACTTCAGCTAGCGCCCATGTAGGATGCTGCTGTGCCATAATGCAGGCCTCTGTTTTTTTAAATGAGTTTTTCCCTGGGGCAGACATTTGGCCCACTCAGCTGCTTTGGATTCTCCAGCTCTGGCTTCTGACTCCAGCTTCTTGGCCAATGCAGAACTTGGGAGGCAGTGGTAATGGCTCGATTAATTGTGTTCTTGCTACTAATGTGAGAGACCTGGATTGCTCTGGCTCCTGGCTTTCTACTTCCTGAGGGCGTTTGGGGAGTGAACTAGTGGATAGGAACTTGGTCTCCCTTCCTCTCAGATTTTAAAATCTTTTTCAGAATGTAATAAAAATAGTTAAGCACTTTGTTCCCAAATAGGGAACATGTTGTATTCATTGGTACTCTTTTTTTTTTTTTTTTTTATTTGTAACAGATTTTTGAGGAGCAGAGCTCCACCTTCTGGTTCACTCTCCAAATTCCTGCAACAGCTGGGACTGGGCCAGGCTAATCCTGGGGCTGGGAATATAATCCAGTTCTGCACCTTTCATGTATGTGGCAGGGACCCAACAACTTTAGTTTGCTACAGCCGGAAGCAAGAGTCAGGAATTTGGAATTGAACTAGGTACTGTGATATGGGACACTGGTGTCTTAACTGCTAAGGCACATTCCTGCCACATGACTATTCTGTAGGAGAGAGAACAGTAAACAAGCCTGTCCAAAGTCACACTCAGTAATTAGGGACTTGGAGTGCGATTGCTATGTAATACAGGAATCTTACTATACATACAACTACTTATTTTTTATATATACATTAATAGAAAATTAGCAAGATACACAGGAGAAAAAATTTGTTCAATTCCATTACCCATTAATGAAATCTTTATATGTTTTTTCTTTTAGTATTCTTATATACATTCACTTTTTGAAGATACTGAGATTATAGATAAATAGAATTTAAAAACTATTTAAATTTCTAACTCTAAATGGCTTTCCAAAAAGGTAGCACAAACCCCAAGACTAATAATGTGAGTACTAATCTCATTTGTGATTAGTAACAAAAATACCATATTTTGTTAGGTGATGTCGCTCCCCCTCTTCGTGGAGGAACGACACTAAGCCCTGCCTAGGCTTCATATCCGAGTCACGGCACCTTTATGTCGCTCCCCGTCTTCGTGGAGGAACGACACAGGACCCTGCGCTGTTCTTTCGTCTGCTCGGCCCTCCCCGGGTTTGCTGCTGGTTCTTCCCGGGTTGGCTACTATCCCTTCCACCTCCGTGGAAGGGCAGTTCCCCCTGGCCGCATTCCCCACTTCCGCAGGGGAACGGCACACCGCCGGCCGGCTCGTCTCGGGGGGCTGCACAGGTGTTCCTTCAGCTAGATGTTCCCCATAGATGTTCCTGGTGCATGCCGTCTCTCTCCTCCTTTATAGTCCTCCTCTGCCAATCCCAACTCGGCTGCCCACACGCCGAGTACGATGCTCTCCAATCAGGAGCAGGTCCTACAGTTTATTGGTTGAACTGGAGGCAGCTGTGCGGAAGCTGTTTACTTCTCTCCCAGCGCCATATTGTGGGAGAGCAGATGCATAGAATAAGTCTTAATTCCAGTAACTTAGTCTAGTCCGAGCTGCTCCCCACAGAGGAGAGCAGATGCATAGAATAAGTCTTAATTCCAGTAACTTAGTCTAGTCCGAGCTGCTCCCCACAAGGTGATTTACTTTTTTTATTTTTTTTTGCTTTTTAAGATTGTATTTCTTTATTTGAGAGGCAGAGTTACAGACAGAGAAAAGGTCTTCCATCTGCTGGTTTACTTCCCAAATGGCTGAAATGGCTGGAGTTGGGCTGATCAGGAGCCGGGAGCTTCCGCGTCTCCCACAGAGGTGCAGGGGCCCAAGGACTTAGACCATCCTCCACTGCTTTCCCACGCCATAACAGAGAGCTGGAATGGAAGTGGAGCAGCTGGCACTGCAGGCGGTGGCTTTACCTGCTACGCCACAGCACTGGCCCCAAAAACTCGATTTTTAAGAATTCATTGCAACTGAGTGCCCAAGTGTTTCATGATTGTTTAACCAAGTTGAAAGATCAATGGTGTGTCGTATTCTTGTTGGTATATAAATACTTAATGTATATAGTTAAATGCTTTTCATTGTTCATTAAATGTCTCATACATATGTGATATTTAATATGTCTGAACTTTTATTTTCAAGCCTAGAAGTAGTGACAGCTGATACTGTTTAGGAAAATGGTGAAGGAAGGAGGCTCGGGGACCTGCTTAAAGGCAGCTGCCACTTCTTCGCTCTGATCTCTGTATAGAAACCTTTGACTTTAGAGTCGGAAAAATGCTGCTGGATAACGTGAATCGCAGAAGACATTTGAGAAGACAAAGGATGACAGAAGGAAACTTTGGTTCTTAAGAAATGGAAAACAGGCCGGCGCCGCGGCTCACTAGGCTAATCCTCTGCCTAGCGGCGCCGGCACACCGGGTTCTAGTCCCGGTCGGGGCGCCGGATTCTGTCCCGGTTGCCCCTCTTCCAGGCCAGCCCTCTGCTGTGGCCAGGGAGTGCAGTGGAGGATGGCCCAGGTGCTTGGGCCCTGCACCCCATGGGAGACCAGGAAAAAGCACCTGGCTCCTGGCTCCTGCCATCGGATCAGCGCGGTGCGCCGGCCGCAGCGCGCCGGCCGCAGCGCGCCGGCCGCGGTGGCCATTGGAGGGTGAACCAACGGCAAAGGAAGACCTTTCTCTCTGTCTCTCTCTCTCTCACTGTCCACTCTGCCTGTCAAAAAAAAAAAAAAGAAATGGAAAACAACCATAAGAAAAAAAATTTTTTCAAACAATTGTAAAAAAATGAAAAATAAAACAATCTTGTGAAATAGATGTCCCCACTATATAGGTGTAAAACCGCAGCTCAGAAATGTCAGCGGCATTCCCGTTTCACACAGGTAAAGGCACACTTCTGGACTAAGAGTGTCCAAAGACTATGTTCATTTTAAAATAGCAGACTAGGTGCTGGAAATAAAGACCAGCTTTGTTACTGGTCACTTTTTAGCCAAGGCACTTCTATTGAGAAGTTTAACTTTTCTCCTTCAGATACCACAACTGTTAACCGTCATAGCTGTCATAGAGATATTAATCTTTTCACCAACATCGAGAGGCCTGTTGCCATTCAGAGCTGTTCGTAATCACACAAGTAATAAGATACAGACAGCTTAGCCTATTCCCACTTTACAGGGGAGCAAAAGCAATGCACATTGAGTAGAAACTATATTTTGAATTTTGATTTTTTTCCTTGGGCCGGTGGTATGCCACAAAATGCTCTCATGCAATGCTGGGCAGTGGGAGCAGCTGCAGCTCCTCGCCAGCCCCACATTCACAGGGAAAACAGCTGACAGTACCGCGTGCCGGGCGACTAAACTAGGATAAACAGTGCTAGGTGCAGTAAATGTATTTTCCATTCACAATACTGTCTTAAAAAAAATTTGTTTGAAAGGCAGGAAAAGGGAGATTTCATCCCCAAAATGC